ACCTACAACCAAGGGGCCATTTAGACATAAAATATTAACTAAATAAATCACTCATCAATGAACGAGCACGAACAAGCTACATTCCTTAACGAACACGGACAAGAAATTTTTTGTTCATTTATGTTCGTGTTTGTTCATTTGTTCGGTTAAAGTTAAACGAATGAACATGAACATACCCTTGTTCATGTTCATTCAGTTCGTTTACAAGCCTAACCATAATTATATAAAATATGTTTACATAAGGAGCTCCTAAAATAAATAAATCAAAATATATAGACCATCGTTTAAAGTAAGGTTACGACTTCAATATACAAAAAAGGGGTCTACAAATATAACTAGAGACGTACTTTGCTTTGAATCTCAATCTGAAACATGACTGAAAAAAAAGCTCCTCAACTGCTCCTCCTAAGGATATACAGATTGATTCTATTGCTTGATACTAGTATCATTTACTAAAATGACCCAAGTGTCTTGATCGTTTTCCCGAGTATGCAAACAAGGCTAGTTTTATGTGATCCTAATATTTATTGCTTCTATTATTCTAGAAAAAAAATTATTATTATCACTTGGAGTCTTATTTTTTGTTATTTTGAGTATATGGGGTACCTTGAATCTAATCCTTGGATTAATGATCTAAAATGTTTGTAGGTACCGATACTGACCTTTTAGTATCGATACTAAACCTTTGGTATCGATACAAAACCTTTGGTATCGATACCCACCTGTTGTTATCGATACCCCCTGACTGATACAGGCTAATTGAGTAAAGTAGTATTTATACTCTAGGCTGAGTATCGATACTCTAGTGTTGGAGTATCTATATTGCTTGAGTATCGATACCAAATTTCGGTTGGATGTTTTGAAAAATACCTTAGTATCAATACCCCTATGGGGATTATTGTTAGGATTCGATGATAAAGCTCAATTGAACAATAGAAAATGTGCCAAAAAGGGGTGAATTTGTAATTTAAAGTTTAGTGAGTAAGGAGTATAAAGATAAAGAAATTTGCAAAATGATTTATAGTGGTTCAACTTAACAACCAAGTCTACATCCACTACCTAAGCTCATCACTTAGGATTTTCCAACAAATTCACTAATTTGTTCTTTCTTTTTCAAGGATAAAGAGATAACCTTTACAAACTCACTAGCTTTTTAAAGGATTAGATAGAACCAAAACCCCTTTACAAAAGGAAAAGAAAATAAACAAATAAACCTCTAAAAGGTAGGTGTTTACAAAATTAAAGCTTAAACAAACACAACTATTTACAAGAGAAAGAAAAATAAGAGTGAAAAACTCTTCTCTTGTGTTTGATTGCTTGGAATGGTGTTGGTAACCTTCTTCAAGTGTCCTTACTTATATTTATATATTGGAATGTGTTTGGTCGTTTCTAGCCGTTGCGGATGATTTAGAGTCGTTGGGGATGAAATTTTGTACAAAATAAAACTACCAGTAAAGGGAGTATCGGTACTCCTTTAATGAGTATCGGTACTTCCTTTGTTATTTTTAAATAAAACTAGCCGTTAAAGACAGTTGGGCTTGATGGTATCGATAATATGATCATGGTATCGATACTACTATGTAAAGTAGTATCGGTACCCATTTGGGTATCAATACCTATTTTGCATTGTGGAAATTTAGACATTTGAAAACAATTGGTAGTATTGATACTACCTAGAGAGTATTGATACTTCTCTTACCTTTTGCATCGGTACCACATGAACAGTATCGGTACTACGTTCGCGGAAAACTGTTTTTGCTCAAATTCTAGTTTTATGGACTTTGAATTATTTTTGAAAACTTTGAATAAATTCAATCAAGTCCAAAAATCTTTTGCCTTAATTTGTTATATCAAAATCTTATAAAACATGTTTCAACAAGTATCGATACTCCTACCCTGGTATTGATACTCTATGGATGAGTATCGAAACTATATCTTTAAAATAGCCTAGTTTTTGCCTGAAAGATGAACAATATCGATACTGTTTTTATAGTATCGATATCAACACTAAGAAATGCACTATTTTGACATGAAAATCCTATCATTCTACCCCAAAAAGGCCCTAATGAGGTCCCTAACTAATGTTTAAGTGTTTTTTATATTATGGGGACATAAAGAAGGCTTTAAACATACTAAAAATCACAAAACATGGAATCTACCATGAATGCTTCATAACTCAACTTTAGGCTACAATGCATCTCTAATGACTCACAAGTGATATGAAGAAGTTATGAATGTGTTAGCTTTTTAGTTGCTAGTATCTCTCCCAAATCAACCAAGGGTCACCTTTTCTTTCCCCTAGCTTTGGAGCCCTCTCCCATATCTTTCACTAACAATGCAAGAAATAAATTACTAGCTTATCTATAAACCTTGATTAAAGTTATGAACACTCTATATAACTCTAAACTACTAAAACTAGAATCACTTGATTCTCTTAAACATCCTTAAAAACCCATTGTTGTTCTATAAGCTCAAAACTTGAGATATAAAGCTTAAAATGAAGCTTGAGGGATGGAGATTAATATTCTCACCTTGGTTTAACAAACCAACCTTGAAATGCTCGAAATCTTCACCTTGAAAAGGAATGAGAAGAGAAAAAAGATGAAAGAGAGAATATGAGTGTTTGGTGAGTGTTTTGGGGGAGTGGTTATGTGAAAATCATATAATAGGGAGGGGATTTTCATTTTTCAAAATAACAAAGGGGAATTTGCACTCTTAGTACCTCTGTTTTCTATTTCAACTTGAACCACCAGTAACTCTTGGGACCAACTCAAGCCCACTCTTAACTTAATTAAGTCCAAACTATTCTAATAGGTCATTTGGCTCAATTTATGGGTATCTGGTTGATCCAAACTATTAACTTGAAATTTGAGGCGTTACAATTTTCCTCTTCTAATAAGAAATTTCATCCTCAAATTTTACCTGGATAGAAAAGATGTGGGTACTGGAGTTGCATGTCTTCATCAGTATCCCAAGTAGCTTCATTGACTCCATGATTCCTCCAGAGCACTTTTACTAAAGAAATTTTCTTGTTGCTAAACTCTTTCAACTCTTTTGCTAAAATTCAGATTGGTTCCTCTTCGTAGGTCATGTCAGGCCTCAACTCGACTTTCTCTAAGGATAGGACATACGATGGGTCAAAACGATACCTTCGAGGCATGGACACATAGAACACATTATGAATGCGTTCCAACTCCAGGGGTCAACTTTATAAAGACCAATGAAATACGGCGTCAACTTCCCTTTGCATCCAAACCGAAGTACTTTCTTCCACGGAAACACCTTAGGGTGCGTTTGGTTCACGAATGTAAGATTACCAGTGGAATGTAAGATTACCATGGAATAGGATTACTGGGAATGTTGTATTTTGTGTTTGGTTGATTTAGCAGGAATGTAAGATTACCGTGTTTGGTTAAAGAATAAAAGATTATTGAAATGTATATTTGACCAAATTATCTTTATTATATATATTTTTTAACAAGTTGGAAAATATTTATATTTTCTTTAAAAAATTTAAATTCATAAAATTTATATATTTTTTTACAAAATTAAAAATATAAAAAGGTTTAATGAAATGGTAAAATTTTATTTTAACCCCTGAACTTCATATAAAATTTTAATTTTAGACTTTTTTTGTAAGTCTAAAATAGTTTAAGGATAAATTTGTAATTTAACCTTCGTAGAATTTTTTGTTATTCAATGACACAGAAGAATGATATTTTTGAGAAAAAACAATTAAGGGCATTTTAGTCCAAAATGCTGGTAATCCAACAATACCTAAAGAAAGGGAGGTAATGACATTCCCGGTAATATACCCCAAAAAAATCTACTATTGGTAATAAAACATTACAGGGAATGAGATTCCCGGCCAACCAAACATGGGTATGTGGATTCCATTCCCATGGGAATCCCACAGTCCTTGATCCAAATACCCCCTTAAGAAATACCTTATCGCCCACAACAAACTCTATTTCCTTGCATTTTAAATTCGTATAAGACTTCTTCATATTTGATTCCTTATTTAGTCTACTATGAATAATTCTGATCTTTCTTCGGTTTCTCTTATCAGATATGGTCCCACTATCTTTCCCTCACTAAGCTCATTCCAACAAAGAGGATTTCTACACTTGTGCCCATACAAACCTTCGTACGGGGCCATTTGGATTATCGATTGATAATTATTGTTATACGCGTACTCCACTAAAGGTAAATGATCATCCCAACTACCTTTAGGATCAATTATGAAACACCTAAGCATGTCCTCAAGAATCTAAATAACACGTTGTAACTAACGATGAAACGTGGTGTTAAAATGGAGTTTTGTGCATAGGGACTCATGCAAAGCTTTCTAAAATTCAGAAGTGAACGTAGGGTCTTTATCTGAAATGATTGAATTTGGGACTCCATCCAACCTCACTATCTCACGAATGTAGAGTTGCGCTAATCTTTTTAAACTGGAATCAATCCTAACCGGTGTCAACCGATCTATTATCACCCAAACTATATCATGCTTGTGTTTCATCATCGGTTACCCGATTACAAAGTCCATTGTTACCCTATCACACTTTCACTGTGGTATTTGAATTGGTTGGAGCAATCCTGAAGGAACTTGGTGTTCCACCTTGACTTGTTGGCACACCAGACACTTCGCAACAAACTCTGACACCTCTCTCTCTTCATATCGGGCCAAAAATACAAGGGTCGAAGCTCTTGGTACATCTTGTTGCTACTAGGGTGAACTGAAAATGGACTACAATGGGCCTTGTGGCCTCATCCTTCATAAAACATTTATCCATATGAAATTATATAAAGACATTATTATCACATGTAAATCTAGACGCATATAACAAATTTCACCTAATTTGTGGCACACATAACATGTGATTAAGTTTTAAATCACCATCAACAGTAGATAACACAGAGTCAACTATTTGTGAAATACCAACAGTAGACCCATAACCCAGGTAAACTTTTTTATTACCTGAATACTTCCTGGAGGTATAAGAGTTAACTTACTCATACATGACATGGTGCGTAGCCCCAGAGTTTGGGTATCACCAATCAGCTACAAAAATAACACCCTTAGAAATAAGAGAGTTAACCTGAGCAGTGTCCTCAGTCTCATGTTCCTCAACCGCATCAGACCCTGTAGAAAGTTTAACAAACGAATTATAACGCACATCATTAAACTTATTAGTAAACTGAAATACATTAGCTTGCCCACTAGAACCTCCCTTAGATCATTGCGAAGCAATATTTTTGAAACCTTGATCAAACATGTGCCAGCATCTATCAGCAAGATGTCCAAGTTTACCACACAGCAGAAATTGATGGTGAAGTATTCCCTTGGACTTAGCACCTCCTTGATGATTGGGACGACTGCTATTTGAGCCAAAATTGGACTGTTCATCTTCTGGACGAACTTGTCTACTATCACTACCTTTGAACCAATCACAGGTTGACTACATTGATGTTGACTGGTAACATCCCCGCATCTAAAATTTGAGACTCTGGATCCATAAGAACAAAAGTCTCTGTGTCAAATGTGTAAGGTTCACGGATGACCGTAATAACAAACACAAAAGGCTCAATCTTCGAAGGAAGTCCATTAAGAAGAGTTACAATCTGATCAATCTCATAGTCCGCACTCCTACTTGTAGCAAGTAAGTCACATTTTTTTTAATTTGAGTAGAATACTCACGAACAGAGAGATTACCTTTCTTTAGCGATTGAAGACAACTATGTAAACTCATAATCTTGGTTGTAGTGAGATTGGAAAACAACCGAAGAAGTGTTTTCTAGATCCAAGGAGAAGTTTCTACTCTAAAAAGCTAAGGAAACAGAGATGGACAATAGTAGACAAAAGACAATAGGCCAATGAACTATCTTTCTTTTTGTGAAGACGATACGCTGGAATCATCTAAGAGATGCTCAAGTTCATGACCTCTGATCATCAAAATAACTTGTCCGTTCCAGAGAAGGAAGTTATTATATCTAAATGCACGTTTACATACTTGTTAGCAAAGGACGTTTCAACGAACGATTGCTGACCGAATCACCACCAAAATCAGTAAATCCAGTGTGCGACAAACAGATGCATGCATCGTAAGAAAACAATGAAGAAAAACAAAGAATCCTTATGAGAGACGAACATAAACTATTCCAGATTCACCACAGAAACACATATCGTTGAATATTTGATACCATGTTAAAAAGAAATAAAAGAGTTATTAATAGTAAACAAAGCATTTTATTAAACCAAGAAATTAAATCCAACAATATAACATTCATGAATGAGAAGAATTGGATGGCAGCTGTTGCTAGTAGTAAACAAAGAGAATAGAGGAAATGTAGGCCAAAAGACGATTAGCCCTTAGACAATTGTAATCACCTTTTTTATCCTAAAATAAATAATAATATAAATATAAATAATTATAAATATAAAAAATAAAAGTCATTACATAAATCCCTGAATATCCGAGGCATTCAATGCCGACTGTGAACCGGTTGTAGCTACATCAACCCAACTGCAACATCCATGCCTGCTCCATGCTACAACAGTAATTGATTCAACCATTCCTCACCAGATTAGCAACCGTACAACAACAAAAAGGAATAAAAAAATCAACAATTTTTGATTTTTTTATATATTTTTACAAGGGTAATTAAAGCTCATCAGAAACATTTTGGAGAGGGAGATTTTTCTAGATTAAAAAAAACAATTCAAACATTGAAGGTTTTTCCTCTTCCATTTTATTTTCCAGTAATTCTTTTTTATTTCTAAAATAGTAAATAAGAAGAAAGGGAGCGGAGTAAGTTTTACCTTTGGTCGGTTGGGTACCATGTCGGAGCCTAGCTCGCCGGAGAGTCAGGGTAGCGTCGGTGAGCATGTAGTTTTTAGGGAGTGTCGACCAAGATCTTTAGCCCCAAATTAGGATTTTGGGTCTTAGTTTATGGAGTGTTTGGTTTTCTCTCAGTTTAGGGTAGAGCCCAACCACTGATGGTGGTGTTAGGGTGCAGTAGCCGGTGTTGATTCTTAATCTATGTGGTTCTCGGCCGAACCATGGAAGGGAGAGGGAGAGCATGTAGAGAAAAAGAAACAAAGGGGAGAGTTGTTTTTTTGGTTTAACATGCTTCTGGAAGTTGATAATGAGGGTTAGTTTTAAAACTTTTGGGTAAATCATCGTTAAGTCCTCCATTTTTGGTGTATTTCATGCTTTTGTCACCAAAATAAAAGGTTAATCGCGTTTAGGTCCCCATACTTAGGCGTCTATTTGCATTTTAGTCACTATGTATTATTTTGTTTTATTTGTTATGATTTTGACCCTTTGTTTTGTTTCATTTTTATTTAATCATATAATTATGCTTTTATTTATTTCGAATTAACCACTAACTTTTATTTTCTTATACTTTAACCACTATTATATTTATTTATTTATTGTTATTATTCGAATCGAACTTGTGGTGTCTCGATCTGTGGTACGATCAACATTATTATGGTCCGGATTCTATCAACATCTAGCTAATAACCGCTAAGCATTAATCGCTAACTTGTTAGTACGACTCGCATTATTTGCGGTCCGGGTTATACATTAAAAATTAACACTAACATTTTATTTTTATTTTTTTTTATTTTTATTTTTTGTTATTTAAATTTTATGCACATTTAATTTTCTACCCTTTACTTTTTATTTATTTAATTTCAGTCCTCTAATTCCATTCCTTTATTTTCTATTTTTTATTTCTATCCTTTATTTTTCAGAACTTTAATTTTAGTCCTTTGATTATTGCACTTTATTTTCTGTTTATTTTAGTCACATGAACATATATATGCATGTTTCATAATTTTTATCATATTGAATGCATTATTTTGTTATCTTGCATTTGGTCCTTGTGTTTATTTATGATTTTATTTTATTTAAGCACTTATATTTGTGATACTTATTTTTGGTCTTTGCTTTTTATTGTGTATATAATTTTGTCATTAAAGTCCCAACCTTTCATCTATCATGATTAATTAAATTTGTCAAAATATTTGTTCACTTTGTCTAATATATTTAAGCTCTAAAATATGTTTATCCATGCCTACTTTAGCTATATTCACAATTAGATAGATTGCAATATTATATTTAATTCTAAGATTTAATTTTATTTTTGCATTTAGATCTAGATATTTCGAATATATGAAAGCCTCGTAAGCATAACTCAACCGATTTCATAATTAGATTAAAGGTAGTATTTATTTATTTCAAAATATTAAGAAAGGATCATATTAAGATAACTAGATGTTCTATTCCGATATTTTTAAAATAAATAATTACACTACTAGACAACCTAAAAAATCAATATGCTTAAATTAAATCAAGAATAAAAGGAAAAGGAAATGTTCATTTATTTAAACTTGTCGAGACAATTCGTCTAATTTTTATTAATGATTTGGTCTCGACCTTTTTAAATAATTGAACATCCCTTATCTTATTTTATCTTACTATTTTAATTCGTTTGAACTTAGCCACTATTATTTCTTCTTTTATTAATTTTATTTTGAGACTGATTCTTTTTTTATTTTTTTTATTTTAATCACAGATTAAATTCTGATTTGGCTACTGTTTTCTTATTTTATTATATTCTGGTCCATAATACTAAAATACGAATACTAAACGTTAATACGACCTCACGATGACCCGCCCTGGGGTATTATTCGGATTATTCATGTTCTGGGTAACAATAAAAATTAACCCCCTAACTTATAATTTTATATTAGAATGTCTAATTACTGTTATTTTAATTTTGCCCTTTAAAATTTTGTTATTTTAATTTCTGCTTAAAATTATTAATTGTTTACAGTTTAGTCATTTCAATTCCAGTTTTAAATTTTCTACACAGCCTTAATTTAAGTTTTATATTCTGATTTCTTTCATTTTAGTCCTTTACATACTGTTTTAATTCCAGCTTTGCATTTTTTTTATTTTATTTTCCTTTTGTATTCATTAATTGCTTTTAATTTTTTATCTTTAATTTCAATTTCTTTAATACAGTCTTAGAATTTTAGGTTTTAATTTAAACCTTTTGATTTTCATTTAGAATATTTTAGTACTAATCTAGAATGCTTACATTTTAGGTCTAGTCCTTAAATTTAGACTCCTTTAAATTTGGTGCTTAAACTTATAATTTAGGAGAATTTTTTATTTGGTCCTCGCTTATGCTCGAGGTTCCGAATTAATTATTCGATAGTCCATAATTGATTAAAATTAATTTAAGTTAATATTATAGCCTACATTTTTAGGTTTGTGCCTCTAGATTCTTTAATTTTCATAATTTGACACTTTAAGATAGAGAAAGTCTTAATATACTCGTAGTTTAATTAGGATTAATAATAAATTGTTTGATTGCATCATGTTTTAAAACCTAAGGCAATGTTCACTTATTAGGGAATCAATATTATATCTCCCGCAAGTATGCTCAGGGATGACTACTGGTGATTTCTGAAATAGGTCGACATCCTTTTCAAGACTGGATCACGATTCTAACATATCGAGACAATGTCCGGTTATTGGGCACAATAGTTGATCTCTCGTATTCATGTTAAGGGGTGAATGCTATTGCTTTTATAAACGAATACATTTTTCAACTTTGCATCCATAATAATTTTTAAATTAGATAAAGTTCAAACTCAAAGTTTTCGATTCTAAATATAGGTAATCAACTAGGTACCAATTTTTGGGCAATGTGGGGTGTTAATCATTTTCCACATATAACTGACTCCCGAACCTATTTTTTGGTTTTCGTAGACCCTAAACTTGGTATTTTGATAAAAATAAAATGTTTTATTAAAAAATCACCCGATTTTTATGATGTCGATCGCACCTTAAAATCATTGGTGGAGACTCCTCATATTTCAAAATATTTTCAAAGAAAAACCCCTAATTTATACTATATTTTTCTCTACCCGAACGAAAAACGGCGTCGACAACAATTGAGCCCTTTTTTTATTGCCACATCCATTCATACGGGTCAACACTGTCAGTTTGATCCAAACAGAATGATTGCGCTTATCCAATTAACAAACTCTTAACCGAACAACAACCAGCCCAACGACAATGCACATCATTCACACTACACTACAGGTCTGAACATACTCCCTTCCATTTTTTAGAGTCCCCTTCTCCTCCCCTCTAAGGATCAAGATTAGATTTACAATTAAAAAAAATTAACAATAGTTATGAACCCATCAAGTGAACTTATGGGTGTTCAGTTTTTGGCTTTAACCGAATTAATCAATCGGACGAATTAGTTAGGTAAATTCGGCGGTCACTGAATTAGTTCGGTCGGAGAATGATTAATATTTTTTCAATATCTAGTTAACAGTTAATTCGGTTCGAAATCGGTTAATTAACCAAAATTATTAAATATTAAATATTATATATATATATATATACTTATTTTAAGCACAAACTCATTAAGAATTAAGACTCAATTATTTTTTAACCACACTATACTCATTAAATTATCAATATCTATTAAACTTTAACCAAAATAAAAAAGTACCTCTATTATATTCAAATTAATCTAATTAAAAAATTATAAAAAAATCTCGGTTAATTCGAACCGACTGAAATAATCGAACTTTGTTTGGTTCAATTAATATTTTCATAAAAATAGTTAGGTTTGGTTAACGATTAAAGAAAAAAAGTTTGATTAATTCGATTTGGTTGGTGACCGAATTAGCCCTTTGAACACCCCTAAGTGACCTCAATGGTTAAAGAGAGTGATGTTTTCTCTAGAGGTCCTGAGTTCAAGCAGTTCCTTCTATAAATTTTTGTACGTTGTCAATGACTAAGAAATATTTTGAACATATACTATCTTTGTAATTACCCTAGACTATTATGAACATATACTACTTTGTTCGGTTCGATTAATAATTTCAAGAAAATTTGATTTAATTAATTATTAAAGATTTTTTTTAATTAATTCAACTTTAATTAATTCAGTTTGGTGGATGACTAGATTAACAATTTGAACACCCGACTCACTATTTGCATTCTCATAGCCTTTTCACCTTTAACAATTTCAGATTTTATTTTTTCAGAAACCAAAATCAAACTTGCAAATTCTTAGTCGAAAATTGAAGCCTAACTTTCAATCCATAAATCGATCTCGATTTCTTTGAGTTTCATCTCTCTCAATTTGCAGATTCTTACTTAAAATGATAGAAGGTTTAAACAAGTTTTCCAATTTTGAAGCGGCTTGCAAATAATTTACTCAAAACGATCAAAGATTTAAACATACTTTTCCGTTTTCAAAAGGTCTCAAAATTCATAGTCGAAAATTAAAGCCATGATTTCTACGTAAAAAAAGAACTTGAATTCTTTGAATTCAAGATAACGTCATGACACAACATTGGCATTAAGGTGGCCAAGCAAAAAGGAAAGGCATAATATCAAAATTATCTCTCAACGTTTCATTTTGAGGCATAAAGGTCTCTATATAGATGAAAATCGTTATTTAATAAAAGGTTAAAACTTGAAGTAGATATCTTTATACCCTAAAATGAAATGCTAGTGTCAACATGCTCTAAAAATAAAAAAAGTTTTTTTGTCCTAAAATAAAACATTAAGGGCCAAAATACTAAAAAGAAATAATAACCCAAATAATTATTATAATATATATAAACGTCAAGGGCTACTTTAACGTTGTGACAAAAGAAAAATTTATGATCTTGACCTCAAAATCAGAGGAGAAGAATAAACGTTGAGGCCTAATTTTAACATTGCAACAAAAGAAAAATTTATGATCATGATCGGTGAAGTGTCATCAATATCCCACAAGTATTATCTCTATGGTTGAAGATTCATAATTGCATATATTACTAGATCCATATTAAGACGATTAAAATTCCATCCCACTCCGTTACCCTCTCTAATAAGATCATATATGATACTAACTATCACTTCATATTTGATGAATAAAAATTAATACAATTTTAGTAAAACTGTTGATGTGGTTGTAAATATAACAAATGTGAGTCCAGCGGGTGTGATTCCCTCGCAGCCGTCGCCAAAAACAGAGGACACATACAATAATTCCACACTTACATCGCTGAC